CTTCTCAGTCTCATTTTTCTACCTTTCCTGTAATTCGCCGTGTGCTGCCGTGGCTCGCAGGAGACCAGGACTCACTGCAGAGGTTCTGGTAATGTCCCCTTCCCCTGTCCCCTACAATTCTTATCTTTTCATTTTTCGGATTACATTTGCTAGAGATCTTAGGTGACAAACATAATTTAAGGATTTGTTTTTCTAGGAAGACAATTGAGATAGCCAAAATAATCCATAACATCGAAGTATGTTGTGTTCTGTACAGAAACCTTTGTTAAAAATTATTAATTCTCTGATCAATTCATAAAAATACATCTTAGACCTAATGCAGCAGCAGTAGTACTAGTAACTAACCCAGGGCCCAGAGCTGTGTGGTCTCAAACCAAATCCTTAATTGGGGGGCAGGGAGTGAGGCAGCGCGGATCAGGATAAAGAAAACTGCAGTGAAGATTCTGAGAAATAAGGAAAAGCTGCGCGGAGGAGGCGAAAGCTCTCATTTAAAAGGAGTCAAGTGAGAAAAACAGCAGTTGCATTTAGGGGCTTAATAAATAAAGGGTACTGCATGGTGGAGAGGCAACGAGACTATGTAGGAAAACTAGTGGAAGAGGAGGTTCAGAAGAGGGTGTCCTTGCACATTCCACTCAGTGCTGGCTCACTTCATCCTGATGTGGGAGAAGGGGGGTTATTCATGCCTCTCCACGAAGAAGAATATACATATATATATATATATATATGCATGCATGCTGGATGCAGTGGCACACACCTGTAATCCCAGCTCGTGGGAGGCTGAGGCAAGAGGATCAGTGTGAGTTCGAGGCCAGCCTGAACTACATAGTAAGACTGTTTCAAACAACAACAATAACAAATAATAATAATAATAATAATAACAATGAATATAGCATCATTATAAAGAAAGCATTAAAGAAGTATAATATGTTATTTACTGCTGGGTTTGGTGGCATACCCCTGTAATCCCAGCCGTTGGGGAGGACGAGGCAGGAGGATCACCAGGTCAAGACCAGCCTGGGCAACTTAATGAACCGCTGTCTCAAAATATAAAATAAAAAGGGCTGAAACGTGGTGCATAGCATAGCTGAGTTACTTGCCCAGCATGCGGATGAGGTCCTACAGGTTCAATCCCCAGAGCTGGAAAAAAATCACCATGCTGGGAAATACCCACAATTAGTCCCTGAACTCTGTGCTCCCCAAACCAGGAAATGACATTTCAGGTGAAGGATCTGTCTCTGTGTGGTCTTAGATAGTTCCCAGGTAGACACAGGCTTCCTGAAGAAACTTCCTGAAAAGTGATGGAAGGTGAGACCTGGCTCTCCACCAGGTCTGCATGACTTCAGCACTCCTGTTTTTACTCTTATTTGGCAGCGCTTTCATTGTTGTTTGTTTCCTTTTGGTGTTTGTTTGTTTGTATTTGGTTTGGTAGAATGTTTTCTCTGCAGAGATACTAATATCTTTGGAAGAAAAACAATTTCAAGTTAGAGTATTAGGTTTTTTTAAAGAATCTATCTTTGGAGGCAGGGATGTAGTTCAGTGGTGCCGCACCTGCCTGGAAAGCACAAGGTCCTGAGTTTGATCCCTGGTACTGAGGGGAAAAAAAAGAATCCATCATGATGTACCACTTGTTAGTTTATAATTTGAGTCTAAATCTTATTATAATTGTGCCTACTTGCAAAAAAAGAGAGATTTGAGATTTGTGAACATAAAAATACTGTACAATTTAAATGGTAAGTTTCACTAGTACCTTTTTAAAATTGAAAATGAAATGTTTTTCTACCCCATACAGAGATAATAATATAGGACGTAAATTGTTTACTTAGCAGGATATCAGGCATAAGGAAGATCGGATAAGACAGTAGTGTTAGTTTTTTTGTTTTGTTTTGTATGTTTGGTGTTCTCTAGTAATTTGAGAACAGGTCATTTTAAGGGGAATACTTTATGAAAATGATAATGTATACACTTCAATTGTGGAGTAAGAATTACTTATTAATGCCGGGGATTTAGCTCAGTGGTTCCACTGCCTGCCTCGCAAGCACAAGGTCCTGAGTTCGATCCCTGGTACCAAAAAAAAAAACAACCACACAAGAATTACTTATTATTCAGTAAGTTGTCTTTAGGCCCATTTACCTGAGGTTGCATCAAAGGTCACACATTCAGACGCAGTATGACTTGTGGCTTAGGAGTCCGGAAGCCTCGGTTTGAATTCCAGCTCCACCATATTCTTTTACTTGGGGCCAGTCATTTCAAAAAAGGATTTTTGGACATTTGTTCTATAATATGCCTTCCAATCTGCATCAGCAATGAGACTACAGTGGAAATGTATCCAACAACCACACTGATGATTTGCCATTAGCTTTCATTTAGCAAAGTTAACATTTGGTCATCAAATATTCTTCACTCAATGAGAAGTATTTTATGAAACAGAGTTTCCACAGTCATTGTGCCTATTTTTAAAAGCCCTGTATAAAATGAGTTTATTTTGTACTATTTTTAAAGAAACAATATTTTCAAAGCTTCAAAATTTGATTATTTTTCAGTTCATCAAAAAGGTATATGAGAAAGAGCTGAATAAAAATGATGTTTTAAAAGTATTTATTGGTGTTCCTAAAATTTTAAATTTCTTCATTATATTCTCTCCTGATTCAAACCTATTTACAAGAAGTGATAAGGATGCCATCTTTTACTCAATATGAAACCACAATTACCATCATACTGGAATTTTTTTGGGTTCAATAAAAGCAGATGATTAGGAGGGAAAGAATACTAGTGAGTATGTCAGTCAGCTTTCATTTGCTGTGACAAAATACCTGAGTCAACTTATAAAAAAGGATGGTTTATTTCAGATCACGGTTTCAGAGATTCAAGTTCACGGTCAGTTGGCTGCATTTTTTGGGTCTGCAGAGGGGCAGAACATTGTGATGGAGCATAGGAGCTCACCTCATGGCAACTGAGGAGCAAAGAGAGAGGTGGGGAGATGCTGAAGTTCTAACACCCTCTTCAGGGACATGACCCTAACCACCTAACATCCCGCCTCCTAAAGGTTCCCCACCACATGATGCTGACCTAGCCTTTGACACTTGGCCTCCAAGGAACATTTGAAATCTGAACCATAGCAGTGAGAAAGCAGTCTTGAGGCCAGAATAGCTTTGCTTCCATGATGTGCCATTTACAGTAGTAACTCAAGAAGTGCTAAGGGGCTTCCACCCTTTGGCTATACTCTGGTATTGTGACTTTATCTTTTATTTCCTCTTCCCCCATGTTACGGTTTATGTCTAGATGTCTCCCCCAAAGCCTCATGCACTTACAAGTGGGAGTTTGAGGAGGTGACTGGATCATAGGTGTGTGACACTGAATTAGTCCACTGATGGGTTTATAGCTGGGCGTGATGTTGGGAGATGAAGCCTGGTGGGAAGAGGTGGGTCACAGGGGGTGTGGCCTGGAAGGGTCAGTCTCCTTCCTTCTTCCTTGATCCCTGGTTGCCTCCTGTCTGCTATGCTATGGACTGTTTCTCCTCTGCCATGCCCCTCTGCCATGCCACCATGTCTTGGAACCAGACAACTAAAACCTCTATAATCTGTGAGCCAAAATAAACCTCTCCTTCTTTAACTTGTGGGTGGCAGATATTTTTTCCCAGTGGTGAGAAAGTAACTAAGACACCCCATCTCCTGACATATGCGTGAAGAATGATCAACTTTGAGGTAGCAACTTACTAAATCTAAGTTGTGTTACTACGCTGGTGTCTTTGGCTTTGCTATAGTTTAGGTGTAGATGGGGGCTGGCTCTAAAACTGTGACCTGAATAAACCTCCTTTCTTTATCAGTATACACCCGAAGTTATGTAATAGCAACAGAAAACAGACTAATACAAGCAGGTTGGCCCACATTTCCTTAACTGGAGACTCTTGTAGTAGTTGTTTTGCTTGCTGTCTTCACTTGGGTTTGATCTTAGTACTCTGAGGTACAAAGTGTACAAGACTGAGAGTTAATAAACCTGAATTTTAATCTGAGTTTTGCTACAGTGATCAGTGTGACCCTTTCATTCAGTTTCTCCGTCTTGCCTGTTTATTGAAACTGACCTGCGAGGCTCTGTTCTGGTGCCAGGAATGCACTGCGGCTACTCTCGGGTTGCTCACAACTGGTGATCGCGATGGCAGAGTGGAGAGACAGACAACACATGCCTGAGGAAATACATAGCTATTGGGGGGCAACTTTGATAATTTTGATACACCATAATTTTTTTTCCTTTTTTTTGGTACCGGGGATCGAACTCGGAGGCAGGCGCCGGAACCACTGAGCTAAATCCCCGGCCCAACTTTGATAATTTTGAGAACGGTGAGCAGTAACACTAGGTAACGTGGTAGGGGCGGTAGGACGTCTGGGATTTCTCCGGGTGACAGGAAGATGAAGGGTGGACCGAGGGATGCTAAGGATGCCTGCAGGCTGAAGACAGGCTTCCTTCTTTTCACTGTGAGTTGTGTTACGAGAAGGCCTGCCACTGCCTGGCTTCTAGAAGCGCAAGTGTTTGGGAGATGCTGCACGTGAGAAGAAGCCAGAGCTAAACATTTCAGTGTACTTCTGAGGGTAGCTGCTAGACATTAAAGGAAAAACCAAAACAGAACCCTAGTTAAAAAGGCGCCCGAGGACCGAGGTGACGCCGCGGGGTACTGAGTCTCCCGGCCGGAGGAGGGCGGGGCGGCCGTTCGCGGGCTGCAGGATTTCCGCAGGCGGGCGTCGTGTGGCCCGGAAGAGGCGGCTGGAGGTCGCCGGGAGCCGGGTCGTCCCGTCCCTGCGGCGCGGGAGGAGGAAGGATCGGGGCGCGATGGCAGCAGAGGGCCCGGCCACGCGCCCAATCCAGGTGGCCGAACATCCCAGGTGGGGACGGCAGCACCGCGCGTGGGCACCTCAGGGCCGGGCGGGGACCCGAGGCTGGCGGCTTCGCTGCCCCCTCAGGGCGCAGCTTGGTCCCCAGGACTCTCCGGGCACGGCCCTGCGCACCCCGCCTGCTCCCACGGAGACCGCTCGGCCGCGGGGTTTCTCCGCCTTTCTCGCCAGAGGCTTTGGATCGCGCTTTCCACCCGGCCTCAGTAAACACGCTAGCTCCACCTGGAGCTCCTCCTCCTCTGGATGCAGTTGGCACTGCTTTTGAGTCTCCTGGCTTTCCACAGAAAACAAACATACGAAAAGCTCTCTGGCTTTTACATCTTAAAAAAAGATCCAGAATCTCCAAACTGTCCCTCAGGGAATTAGTTTGTTGCTGATACCCAGCTACAGAATAACAGATAATTCAGTGGTGGCTTGTGCAGGATTTAAAAAAAATTACAACCACTCTAAAAAGTCTGCGCTGATTTATTGAGCCAAAATCTCACTGAATGTGGTCTTTCACTTGCTACAGTAGCCCAAGGCTTGCTGTGCTTGGCCTCTTTCCCACTTTCTTGTTTAAATTTTTTTTTTTAACCCCTCTAGTATCAAGTCTAAACTCTTTCTACTTCCTGGCTTATTACCATCATGTGTCAATTCACAGTATTGGACTTCAACTTGAAAGTGTTCTAGCAGGCTTAAGCCAACAAACAGTGTGTGTTTAGTTACTAGAGAGAAACAGTTTCTTGTTATAGAGACCAGTAGTGTTAGACTATTTCGGAATATCTTTGGAAATTTTCACATATTCTCTGGAGGTCCTTGCATAGTGCTAGGACCCTCACACTGTACTGTATATTCACATGAATTAGGACGCGTTATTAGGCATGCTTGAAATAAGATCACAAGGAATTTGTTATATGAAAATAAATCCAGCCCCTTGTAACAGTTTAGTCCTTTCAGGACGTAAAACATGAGCATTGAGAAATGTCAAGTGTTTCTATTTTATAGGATTTTATTTATAAAGATCAGTTTCTACTGCACAGTAGGGAGATGATGGTAACAAATACTGGTACATGCACTAAAAGTGAAAATTTTCCTTAGCATTCTTTCTCACCTTTCGTGATTTTTTGAGTATATATTCATGCAACGAACGTCTAATGTAAATATTTATTGTTCTGTGCTAGCCACGGAACAGATCATACTAGTCGAATAAGCTCTGCTTTTTGTTTTTGTTTTTCATCTATGTGTGCGCCGAAATCATTAGCTCCAAAAGGTGTTTTACTTTTAGGAATCTTTTGAAGCCACATAGTGGTCAGGAGGGCTGCATTTTGTTAAATCCAGATAGTGCAGATCTGGATCGGTCACAGGTTGCAGTTCTCGGAGGCCCCTGGACATGAGCCTGTCTCCTTGAAGAACTCTTGGTCTTTCCTCAAAATGCAGATGGTAGCCAGCCACATCGCACATTTTAGTCAGATAATTTCTTTTTCTATTCTTTTATATAAAAAGAAAATAGAAATAGAAGTGCTAATATTTTCTTTTTGCATTCCACTCATGCTTGTTTCCAAGCCATAAGACTTCAAATTCCACTGTTCTAGCTTACTTTGTAGTGGTATCTCTTTCTTTGCTTTGGAATTAAGTTTTAAATTGTTGGATTATTATCTTTTGTAACAGCTTTATTGTAACACCCATTTAAAGTTTGGAATGAAGTGATAGTATTTTCAAAGTGTTGCACATCTATCACCATAATCAAATTTGGTCATTCCTGGAAGCAAGGATTACCCTGATAACAAAACCAGAGAAGGATCCAACCAAAAAAGAGAATTACAGGCCAATCTCCCTAATGAATATAGATGCAAAAATCCTCAGTAAGATTCTGTCAAACAGAATGCAGCAAATCATCAAGAAGGTTATGCACCATGACCAAGTAGGATTCATCCTAGGGATACAGGGATGGTTCAATGTACATAAATCAATACATGTAATACACTATATTAACAGAGCGAAGGACAAAAACCATATGATCTTTTCAGTGGATGCAGAAAAAGCATTTGACAAGGTCCAATACCCATTCATTCATGATAAAAATCCTTCAGAAAATTGGTATAGATGGTCTTTATCTCAACCTGATAAAAGCCATCTACAACAAACCATAATCAAATTTGGAAAATCTTCACTCTAGAAGAAACAAGCATTCTTTAGCTTTCACTCTGGTTTCCCTTTCCTGTTCTGACCCATAAGCAACTATTAATATACTTTCTGTCTCTATAGAGTTGGTCATGCTGGACATTTTGAATAAATGCTGTTAAAAAATCCCCACAACAACTAGAGCTCCAGACTCAGAAGTTTGTGCTGTGTGTGATTCTTGGGCCAGTTTCCCCTTTTAATGGTATGATCTTCGCAAGGACTCACTGATTCGTACTGAAATGCTCCTTGTACTTTCTGGTCATGGGTGCAGGGACTGCATTAAGACAATCTTGTCTGTGTCTAGCCCAGAGGTACAAGTACAGCTGCTACTTGCCAATTTTGGCATTACTTAATTATCAGAGGATTAGGTATGAAGTTTAGAAAAACCCCGTGTACTTCCATGCTCTCTAAAAGAAAAATCCTTTCCTTGTCCCCTTTTGTAGCCCCATACATTTGAGTTTCAAAGGTAGGTGAAGTCACTTAGTAAGCCTGTGTGCTGTGGAGTGGTTGGTTGTAAGAAGACAGGAACCGGAAACTCCCAAGGTAGCCTGGGATATGACGGAAAGTTTGGTGAATGAAAATTATTTCATTAAATCACATTTTAAGAGACACATTCTAATCGTGATGCTAATATTTCACTGTAGTTTGCAGTGCTTATAAAGGTAAATTAGTAAGGATTAAAATTCAAGAGAATTTGAATTTAATCAGTGCATTACATGGTTGTAATAGGCAGAACCAGCCCCATCTGGAAGCTAGAGAATTGGCCAAGCCAGAAAACTAGGATTTACCATAGCGACATCCCTCTTTCTCACATCTGATTGGTCATCAATCCCTGTGGCTTCCACATTTTAACTATCACCTTAATTTAATTTCACTCACCTCTATCTCTGCCACGAATGCCTATTAGATTTCCTCTTTCTACAACCCATCTTCCACGCTCTTCCCAGGGAGGCTTTGTTTTGTTTGTTTTTGTTTTTTGAGTGAGGTTTAGTTAGTCCACTGATGTCCAACACAGCAAAATATGTAGTTGGGCGTCACATAAGGACGGGAGCATGTTCTGAGGGCACTTTCCTCACACGAGTGTCAGAGAGTACTCACAAAGGCTGCTGGGACTTCATCGGGCAGGATAGTCTCAAGAGTGTGCTGTCACGTATCGGTTTGCTGCTGATTCAAACATTGTTACTTGGCACGAGACTGTGTATGTCCAGTGTCAGGACCCAATTCAGTGTGGATGCTGCATTTATTGTCTCCTTAATCCATTTTTAATTGCAGAAGGGTTCTGTCTGTGTGTTTCATGGCCAGTTTTATAGAATATCCCTCTGTTTGGGTTGTAGGGAAAAATCGTGAAAAACTTGGAAATGAACCAAAAGATCTCTGGTTATTTTCGAAAAAAAGCATATGCTGTCTTGAATACCTTTGCAGGTTATCTGCTTCCTGTGTTGACTTTGAGACCTTTACTGTACTCTGGCTGTTTCACAACTCTAGGTCACAGAAGACTGATACCAATGCAAGTGATTCTTGTCCATAGAACATTCTGGCAGAATGCAAATTTATTGTTACTTCTTGGGTAATAAC